ATCTCTTCATTCAAACAAATTGGATATTATAAGTTGTCCATAATGCTGTTTCTCATCAATATAATCCGCACCATTTACACTGTTTTTGGCCTAAATGTCAATACAAGACACAAACAAAAGTTCTTTTAACTTCACATCAATTAATTCATTCATCAATAAAACAATTTAAATGCAATTTTAATAATTGTAATAAAAGTTATTCAAATAATTCAAATTTAAAACAACACAAAAATAGTTTTCATTTAAAAGTAAGATTTGTTTGTGATTTCAATGAATGCCACAAAATTTTAAAATCAAAAGGCATGTTATTTCAACACAAACTTACTGTTCATTTGAATAAAAAGAGGTTCAAATGTAATGAAGAAAATTGTGGCAAAAAATTTTCCTCAACTACTGGTCTAATATATCATAAACGCTGGCATTCGGGAGAAAGACCATACGTTTGTGGTATCAGTAACTGTGGGAAAGGTTTTTCACTAAAACATGATCTATTGAAACATAATAATATTTTTCATTTGGGAGAAAAACTATTTGTCTGTCATTTCAATAGTTGTAATAAAAGTTTTGCAATTAAAACATATCTAACCGTTCATTTGCGGACACACTTTAAAGTTAAAAAATAAACAATTTCTAAAACACAATGTTTTATGTTTTAACTAAACAAACACCACATTATCATTATTTTAGTTTATTATAAAATTATTATGTCATTGTGTATTAATAACTTTACACTACATTATTTTTAATCATTATTATTAATAAATACACTTATAATAAAAGACCTCTAATTATTTTCATTGTGAAATTTCATTGTAATTTATTTGAATAAACTTACGAGTTAGTGTAATTAACCAAACTATGCAATTATTTTCAACTATAATTATAAAAATTTATTATTATAACAGTATTTGCTTATATTTTCATTAACAATAAAATTTTACCAAATTAAAGTAACATTGTCTAATTAAACATGAACTTTTAACATTTAGACTTAATCTAAAATATTGTTCTTTATGTATTTCAATCAAATTATTACTTTAAATATATAATTAACATGATTTTACTTTCACTTTCCGTCCCAAATATTTAAAAAACAATATTGCAATATTATTGACAATAATTTATTGTATTCGTATAATAAAAGTAAGTGTTATAAAAATAAGTTTTAATAAATTAATTTCATTAAAATAAGTTATATTAAATTTATTTTAAATAATGCCTGTAATGTATTATCAATTATATATTGTATTGATATTTATCATAAACTGCGGCGAAATATGTAAGTTTCTAAAAGTAAAGCAGTAAATATGTATACATCTTAATAAGATAATAAGTTAAAACTATATTTATTTAACTAGTTAAAATATTAAATAAACTATTTCTGTAAAAATATTTATAATACAATATTTTAAAGTTAGCATAGAGAATAGCAATTATTTGGATCACCATGACCAGCAGCATCACGAACCATATGACCAGCACATCGATGATAATGGTTACGGACATCATGAGGACCACCACTTAGATGTTAATGATGGACCGGAAACCATACAAAAAACAATCATCGAGCACCAAATACATGAAATCACTCACACGCCCCACACCGACAATAAAATGACAATAAATACACCATATCTACAGGTCAACAAAAATGACCAAGATGACAACAAACACAGTTACGACGATCAATACCAAGGTGACCGTACAGTAACGGATCTAGGTAAGCAATATTGCGAGTTAGTGGCCGTACCCGAACCGGTGCCCCACTATAACCAACTACTGGGTTATGGCGGCCACGACTACGAGCGCCACCTGTTGTGTCACGTGTTTAAACACGTGCGCCGATACGTGCCGGCCTTCAAACGGCCCCTAACTTACGAAGAGTGGCGTAAGAATCGTGTCGATCGGATCGAGTTCTTGCAATCATTCATGTCTGGATTTTTTGGCATTGGTATGCGACGCAACTAGGTACATTTATATTGCCACAACTGTCATATTTTTCATTACTTTTGACACAACATTATTGATACTTTGTTTATGTAATATAAGGATAATCACCAAAAAAATCTAGCCACAAGTTTAACTAAAATTAATATATTTAAGATTTTTATAATTAATAAATTTTATTAATAATTTAAAGATAATAACAAATATTTTGGTTTAAATACATAGTAATTGAACAAGGTTAAAATTGGTTGCTATTTTTGGAAGCATAAAATATTGTGATAATACAAAAATATACAAAATGTCTGCTAATTAACGTCTGCTTCCATTGGGTCTAATGAGGGCCAAAAACTCTTCGCGTGTCTTCTGATTGTTTCTGAACTCACCCACCATTGAGCTCGTGATGGTTGAGCTTTGGATCTTTTGCACACCCCGTGTACTCATACACATGTGACTAAAATATAATACAGTCATTGATAATATGTTTTACACTATTGAATTACATGTAATTGTAACAATGTCAAACAATAATCACTTACGAGGCCTCCACAACAACGCCAACGCCCGCTGGTTTGACCGCGCTTTGAATGGCTTCAGCTATTTGTCGAGTAAGTCTCTCCTGAACTGTCAATTTAATAAATACAAATTAATCTAGTGTAATTATAATTATGCTTTTTGTCTATTAGAATAAATAGTAATAGTTATTAAATTATAAATTAATAAATAATAATACCTTGAAGCCGGCGAGAAAACATCTCGACCACTCGGGCCAGTTTACTTAGGCCAAGCACCTGTTTGTTAGGCAGATAGCCAATGGACACGTGACCATAGATGGGCACCAAATGGTGTTCACACATTGAGAAAAACTCAATGTCTTTAACGATAACCATTTCATCGTGATCTTCATCAAAGATGGCCCCATTCAACAGCTCATCCAAATGGACATCGTATCCATGGGTGAAATATAAGAGAGCTTTGGCCGCCCGGTGCGGCGTTTTCAGTATACCCTCTCGTTGGGGGTCCTCCCCTATGGTGACGAGTATCTCGCGGTATAGTTTGGCCAACTTTTCCACCTTCTCGTCTTCTGTTAGCTCGACGTCGTTATTGTTGGTGTCTTTGAGCACCAATTGTTTGCCGGCGATGTCTTCAGCTTTGGTTGAGTCCAGTCGCTCAATAGTTTTGGTGATTGTGTCTAAAGTCATGGCTTATTGTTGATAATTATGAGTAACTTTTTAAAAGTAAAATTTATTAAATAATATTGTAAATTATTATTTAAGAGTTGTTTTCCAAACACGGTTTTGTAATGATCAGCTATATTACAACCAGACACTATTTATATGTTTTCACAGTTAATTACAAATAATAAGTAATGTACCTATTATTTAAACAGAATATATCATGTGCGCAATCGATGACACATTTCGTCATAACTCGGCATGATACTACTTTTATCATAAGATGTGCCCATATTTTAGTTGTAATTTTGTATTATTCGCAACAATTATTGTATTAAAAATCAAGGTTAGCGGTTAAAGTACATTTATTTTAATGTACCAAGTGATCGGAAAAAATTCCGTATCATAATTATCAAACAATATAGTTATATTCAGTAAATATTCAGTAGCATAATACTAATCAGTCAAAATAATTATGGTGAATATCGATAAAAGATACCCCCTATTAAGTCAAATAATGTTATCACTAGAAATGCACTTTTTTACTATACTTTCAAATATAGGATTTTAAATATTAATTTAGTTTTATATTTAGTAATTTGAAGTTTGGTACAAAAACAGTTTATCCTCTTAATTCTAGCTTTTAATTATATTTTATTTTTAGTACACATTTTGAGGACATTTTTTGACAAATTTATAAGTTTTAAAAACTATTATCTAGTTCACTTTTTCAGAAATACAATTATGGTCGACCAATACTTGATCTTTGACAATTGTTTTAGAAATGTTGTATTAGGTGACAAATTCTGTACATGATAAAATGTTTATACTGATAAAATACAATCAATCAACAAGCTGTGTCTATCCACACATGATGTTCCCATACAACCCCTCCCCCCATACAATGTGATCACAAAGTCCTCGACAGTATTGTCACATTTTCTGTCATTTAGGGTTTATGGGATTATTGCTAAATGACATGATATTTACATAATAATATGATCATTTTATCACATATTTAATAAGGATAATACGGATTATTATATTTTTATTTTAATATTGATGATTCAGCAACATTCTGTTTAAATAATTATAAAGTATTTTTCTGTTAATTTTTTTAATAATTAATTTTATTAAAGATTATATTAAAGTTTATGATTAAATATTTAGACAATAATTAAATATTTGTAAACTGTATTAATAATAATAATAATTTTTAAAAATCAAGCTTAAGTTAGTTAAAAATAAAGCGAATAAATTATTTTATTATCTAATAAATCTATCTGTGTCCGTTTTGTTTAATGAGGGCCAAAAATTCTTCGCGAGTCTTATGGTCGTCACGAAATACGCCCACCATTGAGCTCGTGATGGTCTTGCTCTGGACCTTTTGCACACCCCGGCTGCTCATACACATGTGACTGTTCATGGTTATTTCAACCGTGTACAATTGTACAAGTGGTGTACACCAATGTAGATCCAAGTGCAAAATAAGTAAATACAAGTACAGTATTAGTGCAAGTTTGCATTATAAACATTTTAAACTGTAACAATTTAAATATACATACGTGGCCTCAATCACAACACCCACACCACATGGATTGATGGCCTGAGTGATGGCCTCCGCTATTTGCCGGGTCATCCTTTCCTGAACTATATTTGGATTATATTATTAACAGAGAAATTATAATACAATACATTATTATTATTCTTGTTATACAAAGCACTACAATAGTTCATTTAATGTAGTAATCTTAATGTAATTCAGTCCTTTTACATAGCATAATATAATTATAATTGATAATGTGTTATCACAATTTGTATTGTATGTAACACAAATTGAAACTTACCCTGAAGTCGCCGGGAGTACATCTCGACCACTCGGGCCAGTTTGCTGAGGCCGAGCACCTGTTTGTTGGGCAGATAGCCAATGGACACGTGACCATAGATGGGCACCAAATGGTGTTCACACATTGAAAAGAATTCAATGTCTTTAACGATTACCATTTCATCGTGATCCTCATCAAAGATGGCCCCATTCAACAGCTCATCCAACTTAATGTTATAGCCGTGCGAGAAATACCAGAGAGCGTTGGCCGCCCGGTGCGGTGTTTTTTGCAGCCCCTGCCGGTCCGGGTCCTCACCGATGGCCGACAGTATTTGCCGGTAAAGTGCGGCCAATTTTTTGACCACCTTTTCACGAGAGTTGTCCACATCGTTGGCCACTAACTCGTCGTAGTCCTCGTTGTTGGTTGAGTTCAGTCGTTGTCTGGTCTTTGATAAGGCGATGGAAGTCATGGTAATTAGGGTAATTTAATGTGATAACTAAAAAGTGAGTATAACTATTTTTATAATTTTTATATTTAAGTTTATTTCACAAATATTGTAGTATGTATTTCCTTCCAACTTATATACTATTTTTATGAACATTTTAATTTAATAATTAATTATAAGTGATTTATAAAAAAACTGTTAGTTATGTTGTATTTTATATAACAATTTACGTCATGGGTTTATTTTTTTTAATTAATTAATTAAATTTAGTTTAATTCAATATCCTTATTTTGTTAATATGCAAAATTCTTATTAATTCTGAGCTGAATAAACAAATCTCAAGGTAGAAATTATAATAAATATTACTTAATGCCCGTAATTAATACAAATAAAACATAAACATGACGTTTACTCAGCATAGTATACGGACGCCCATGGTGTAATTACATAAAAAGCCAAAAAACATGTGATTTATAAACAATAATTATTGATTGCAGCTGGGCAAGCAATTTAAATTTATTGCACTTTAAAAATAATTGTTGCATTTAAATAAAGGTACTTTTATTATTTATTACAAATAACGACAAACTACCTGTGTAATTTGTACGTAGAGTCAATTAAAAATGTATTTGGACTACAATATGTTATTATTTGCGCAATGTTATTATCTATACGATTATGTTATTATCTATGTAAAATACAGGATGAATAAAAACTAGTAACATAAACTAGTTATATTAATAAATGTACCTAGTATCGTAATGATAAATTACACATTTGTTTATTATAGCTGCTGTAGAATTTATAAATAATTTTGCCAAAATATAGAATTAAATTGTACTCTACCTAAATTTGTTTATTTATTTGCCCTTGTCACTTTCAACTGTACAAATGTACAAACAGTCCTTATAAGCATTGAACATTTAAGAGCGGAAACTCTAATTGATTTAAATTGTAACTAAGAATTAGCAGTAAACACAAACACACAATTGTATTTTATAAATATTTTTATTAATAGTATTTATAACAATTAAATTTACAATGATAGTACCATTAAGGACAAATAATTTAGATTGTAGGAACATTAGTGCAAACTAGTCAATTTTATTAATTCTCCGGATACAGTATAATTACAGTTAATATATTAGAATTAGTAGAACATTAATATTTAGATGATTTATTAATGTATTTAGTCTATTATTCTTGAATGTTTTGTACAAATAATTTGAAAACTAAATTTGTAATTAAAATGAATATTTAAAACATTTAATCCAGATGATATAATTAGAAATATATTTTATCAAATTTCAATACCATCAATTATATGATTACGTTTTACGTCTCTCAATTTCGATAAATTTTAAAAACATCATCGTTAACATCATTAATATCTGCATAATATAAAAACAAGTCATATTATTCATGTCTACATTATTAAATAATTGTATATGCGTTCATTTACTTCGCAACATTTAATATAATCTACAATAAATAACTTCCAACACCAAAATCCAACTCTCATTTTTGCTGTCCTTTCAATAAATACCATTAGCTAATTAATTAAATAAATAAATTAATTACACCATGTACAAATCATAAAATATACAACCTTATAATTCACTAGCATGTGTTGATTAACATGAGATTTAAGGCTACACAATATTTTGTAAGTTTTATTTGCTTCAAAAGTGACCGACGAGACGATCGATATATTAATTAAAAATAAGATTATGATTAGAAGTGATGGGAATCCTATAAACACACGGCTAAACCAATCCATAGGATAATAGAGCATGGTGAATAGGGCGGTTAATGAGTTCAGGCTTAATACTAGCCAAACAATAAGCATATAACTTGATAAATAGTTATAATTAACCATGGAAATCTCGGTGTATATATCGTTTAGTCGCCGTAATGAATGGATAACGATAGCGCCATTAGATTTGGCTACAAATTGCTGTCCACGTACTATCAGTACGTTTACGGCACGTATTTTATACTTTAGATATGTGGTCAATAAATACCAGTGAATTAACACCCATAAGCTTATGCCGTAGCCCAAGTAAGCTGCCAGGCCTGTTACCAGGCTATGCGGTATCCCATATACCAGAATGTCCCACAACGAACATGTTAATAGGTAGGGTACAAATGTGGCAAAAAACACCATGGGCAAACCACGTTTCACCAATATTTTTCCCCACCGAAACATTAGGCGACATTTTTGGGCAAGTTTGACCACGTATAGTTTATCATATAGTCCAATCTGAGCTGGGGTGCACTTGCCGGCCATCATTATAAACAAGCGTAAAAATATTGGCTCTGTTTCTCGGCGGTAGTTAAATTCAAATAAGAGCATGATAAATATATGGTAAAGGCCCCAGGTCATGTGTGTGAGATTAAAATGGAAACTCAGACCTAATAAGTATCCAAAGTTACCGTATTGTATGTGTTTATGTCGGTCCACACGAGGTATAAAAAGTACGAGAATTGAGCGCCACATAAACGCGTTGACCATAACGTGGCACAACAATGGTGTACAAAATCGGTACCGTCGTATGCCATGGTCGTTTTGCTTGGCAATATTTAAGCCTATTTTATGTAACTGCTTATCGCACTCACTAATTATAATCTTATTAGGAAGAATTCTGTTTATATTGATTTGCTCCATTGTATTTATTCTATCTAGATTTGAATTGATATAAATATACTTTATTTGTCTATTTATTGAATATAATTAAATATTTATAGCTTATAATTTATAAGTTATAAACCATAATATTAAAAATGTACTAATAATTTAAAGTTAAGATATAATGTATGATGTTATAAAAATATTGGCATATAAAAATTCATTATGATTTTAGTTATTTGTATTTCTAATATAATTATATATTTGCATAGACCTAAAATTATTAAATTGTATAAAAATCAATTACTAATGTTAATGAATAGAATATTTTTAATTAGTGAATTAGTTATGTAAATTATTTAATTTTTATATAATTAAAACTGTTGACTTTAATTTAATATGTAAATAATGTAAATTCGTTATGGTTTATTAACATTAAGGATCGTTAATTTTTTATTGTAATTGTATTCAATTTATTAAATTTAATTATGTTTAATGAGTAAAACAAGGTAAGACAAAGTCATTTAGATCTGTAATTAGTTATCATATAAATACAAATAACTAATTTTGGTACATAAGATCAGTCGTGACTTATAACATTAAATAGTCAATTAACTATTACTGTAGTACTATTGATATTAATAATTTAATTGTTTATAATCATATCAATGTATAATAATTAATATAAAATTTAATGTAAATAAACTAGTGGAAAATGTTGTCCGTTATTAATTATTAAAAAATCGATTAAATATTGTTAATAGAAGCCAAAAATATTTGCTATACCTCTACATCTCTAATCACGTGATACGCAATATAAAGCAAAGAATGAAAAGGGATTTGAAGATAATTAACTCTGTTTAAAATAGTATAGTTAAGCTGAACCTTTATTATTAATGGGAGTGCCGAGAGTAATAGCCCCGGGTTTGTCCATTGAACACACGGTTTGACAACTTTTACCAACAATTTTAGCGTTCATTTGGGTTACAGTCAGAGATTTCAATGCACTCGTAGTGCAAGCGTTTTGCTCATTAGGAATATAAGTGTTGACGGTGTAAATGAAATCACCCTTGCACTTTCCGTCCACAATTGTGCCCATGGTAACCTCCATGATATTACCATCAATCATTGACATAATCAGATTCATGTTAGCCAATGGCAGGACTTCGGGTTTGCCATCAATTGTGGCCACGTATGCGAAGGGTGTTTGGACGTAATGATAGCCACTACAGGCCACGGGTATCGGGAAAGTGGCGTTAAGCTCAAGAGCGGTTACGCCAGCGCTACACGAGGCGTGTTTGTAGATCGACACGTTTGTAGTGACAAACGGAGTGAATCCTACAAAACAATGCCAATTCAAACACACATTTCAATCACTCATTTCACATTCATATTCACCCATTTTAATCTCTGGATTGCCGACTGAGTTCGGGTCGTAAACCATAAACTCGGCTAAATTAAGGTTCAATTCTTTCAATGTTTTTCGATAATTGGCGGCCACCGGGTGTTTGCTGTTATCTCTGACCAATTCATCAAGGTCCACGTTGAGCACTGCCGGGGCTACGGGTGCCGGACGCGGGTGTAGTATGCTATCGAGCAGAGGCAGAAAGTTTGCAGATCCGATGGCTATTTATAAAGAAAATAAGCATTTATAATTAAATTATAATTTTAAGTATCATGATATTTAATACTTACAGGCTAATGCGGCAACTAA